CCCACATTCTTGAATATATCTAGGTACCTGACTTCCACAGAAGGAAGAAAGATGTGGCACTCTATAGAGGTTAAGTAGAATTGAAGAGAAATTTGCTTGTGGTCTTTACAAGAGCAGGAGTCATCTGGAGATGCCATTTCCCGTACATGCATTTGGAGCACACCTTCCTGAAAGGCAAGGACCGTAGGCCATTTCTCTGCTTTCCCTCATCTGCCTCTTCAGCAGGACAGTGGTGTTTGGGCTGGTTGCACTCAGGCTTGTAATGAGGATGACTGTGACTGTCTAGTCAGCAGGAACGAAATCATCCACCAGTTCCACAAAATCTACATCCAATGTGAGCTCTGGCTGCTTGTGGTCAGCCTCTGTCTAGCTCAGGTTATCAGGTGTGAAAGTTAACTAGAACCAGCATATGGTTAACCAGAATAACTGTGGCCTTGATAGCTGTAGTCAGCTATCAGTGACTTATCAACAGCTTGAGTCGGTTTGCTGATTTAGCAAAGAAGTTGGTTCACCTAAAGAAGCCAAAGAACACTGAACAATTGCAGAGCTTTTCAGTAGAAGCCTAAGAATTACCCCCCTGTTCTTTCCAGTGGGCTGAAAATCCTGCCAGGATTTCCAGTCAGTTAAGAGTCCTTTTTTCTCCCACTCTCTTCAGATGGTCTTTTAACATGAGCTAACAAATATCCCTCTTAGATAAATGCCCACATCTAAATATTGTCTCTAATCCCTATGCCATGTCTCTCACTTATGTACTTGTCACTGCCACACAGTTCCTTCACAGAGTCAATTGTCCTTTGGGCTGATACTTTGGAGTTAGTTGAACTATCTGAACTGAACAACAAAGATAGTTGATTCTGGACTGTTGTCTTGTTGACATCTTAGACACAAACTTCCAGTGAAGTGTGAAGCAGGTGAGATGAACAGCACACATTTAAAGAAATCCAGGGCAAAATTAGAGTTCTACATGTAGCACAAACTGCCTGTTTTAATCTAGAATGGGACATAAACTATTTCACAGTTGTATGTGCATTAGTTGTCTAGCATGCTGCTTCTTTTCCAAAGGACAGACAAAATCTTCACAACCTGATGATTCCCTTGCCAATGGTTACCATTTTATGGCCATGCCAGTTTTTGATGCTGAGATTTTGACTTTAAACTGCAAGGCATATGTACCTTGGGGTTCTGCAGGTGAAGTAGCCTCTCACAAACTTCCTGGCAGAATAACAGAACCAGGGATGCTGAGTCTTTCTTCCTGCCATCTGTGAGCAGTGGCTCTTCTGGCTTTTAATAAATAGCAGGCTCATTTGGAGGAGTCACTGCATCCAGTCTCAAATGCAACATCAACATCTGCTTTAGGAAACCTCTAACTCCACAAACACAGCAGTGCCCTGTTTTTTGTCACTACTTTCTGCAGTTTCAAGCTGCTGCCCAGCAGCAGTTTTTTTACTGTGCGTATGTGGTGGTGCATCCCTCTCTCACACTGGCCCACACTATGATTTCAGAAATGCTTGTTAGGCCTTGGCCTTGATGAATGACAGCTCAGCTAAGCTCCTTGAGCTTATCAGAAACACTGTGTGCTCCCAGGAACTTATTTTAGCTAATGAGCTCCTGTTTTTTAGCGAACAGTCTTGGAAACCTATTTTTCTTGCCTGCCCAAGAATGTAAGTGTAACACCACTTTTATGATTGAACTTCTACAGAAAGTTACTGACCTGAATTGTAGCCAGGATGGAAAATTGCTGTGACAAAAGAAAACACTCTTGCAGCCCTATAAAGAGTGGTTCTAAGTGAGACCCTCTGAGCTCTCCTGGACCTCAGAGGGCTGCAGCCAGCAATTCACTCTGAGATACTCCTCTGAGCGATAAAATTCTCAAGTTCACTCTATTTGTAGGACTACTGCCAAAAGCCAAAGATGGAGCTTGGGCCAATACCCCCACTCCTTGAGGCTCGACTCTTTGCCCTTCAAAATGATGTAAAGGCATGAGGACTTCACTGATCCTGAGGGGAATTTTTCACAGGTACGTGTCCTCACTCCTTTAGTGTGTGTCTGCCAAGTGTTAATATAGCATTGCAAATCGTTGTGGTTTAAAAGCAAACAGTTGCTTCCCTTCTCCCCAGTCCCCTCCAGTGAGATAGGGACAAAAAGGCAGAGATTATGGGTTGAGATAACAATTTACTAGAGAAAAAGCAATGAGAGAAAGAAAACAGTAACAGCAAATGGTACTCATAAAACAGTGCATAAAAGAGGCGATTTGCACACAAAAAGGTGCTCACCACCCCCACCCAGCTCGGCATGGCTACCAAGACAAAGACAAAATGGTGGATGGTACCACAGCCCTGCAGCTGTGGCTCTTCCCAAGACAAACAATACGGTAGATGTTCTCACTGCTGGAGTCCTCCTTCCCCAAGACCAAGACAACAAACAAGGATGGACAAACCTTCCAAGCCTTCTTCCTCTGCACATCACTGACTGCTCTGCCTGCACTGACTGCCCTGTGCCACCCCAAGGGTTGTGGTCACCGCTTTGCTCCTCCAGAAAAAAGGAACAAAATTGGTGCCATTTCTGCTGCGTACTCAGCTTTTCTTCCACCTGGAGCCATGTCCCCCTTGCAATGACCTTGATGGTTTAGAATAGCATGCCAGCCACACCCACACGCTTCTAGGCCCTGCCCCTCTCAGCAAGGGTGAGAGAATGAACTCTCCTAGTCAAAACCGGGACACTCACGCACTGTGAGTGTTGATCTCTGCAGTCTGTAAGTACATTAGATTCGTACAGAAGTTAGGCCTGTTGCTGTGTTGCTGTCGTGCTCGTTGTAGATTCTAAAGAATCTTTTCTTAACTTGTTGAAATTAGGCTATCAATGAAGTGCTGTTAAAAACTTGAGGCCTAAGCCGTTGGTCAAGTCTGGCTAAGTTTGACAAAAGCGTCTACTCTGTGACTCAACAGGAGGGTGCCCCTCATTCCCTTTTATCCTTATGCTTTTCCATCCTTAACCTTTTCCCATCTCCAGCCTCCACATAGATAATGTTAGACTGATTTTAGTTTTTAGGTTGATTTTAGGTTTTAGTCCAATTTTTCTCTGTATGCTTCAACTACATAGTTCAGCAGTAAAGTGAACCTTACCAATTAACTTTATCGCGCTTTCACTTTTTTATTAAACCTGCTTTAGCCGATGCCTTTTGCCAGTGATTCTTTGAGCAACCTAAACCCCTTATTCACAACAGCGTATTGGAGACCTCACTACTCACATCATGCTCAAAATCCTTTGTTACCCACATCTCATTTGGATTTCAGTTTGCTTACCTTCTCATGTCAAATGCAATTTACTTCTGTATCACCTCTCTTCTTTTGCCAATTTCTCCTTCCTGCTCTAAGTCAGTCTCTGGAATTAATTCTTGGTTTTACAGAATCCAAATGCTCCAGCTTCTTCATATGCCCTCCTTGACCTGCCTCTGCTTCCCTTTTACCCTAGAGGTCAAGAACAGAAAATATACTGACTTTCTCATCTTACAGAGGTTTCTGGCTTTTTCCCTACCTTCACTCTTAAGACTGACCATTATCCCCTTACTGCCTATGCACTTTCAGCATACCAGGAACTTAAATGAAAAGGCACCTCAACCAAAAAAAGACAAAAGATCAAGTGGTAACTCCTTTGGCTTACTGCAAGTTTGTAGAAATCCCTTTGGATCTGAAGAAGGGACTGCTAAATCACTGTCCAATTCTAGAGGAGACCCTGTGGGCTTCTCTCCAGCTGTCTTACACTAGTATTGGTGAGTAGATGGATATGTTTCCTTCTAAAATCCAAGGTTTCTGCAAATACAGAAGTCCCTAACGTGTGTTAATTCTTATCTTTCTTTCCAGTTTAAATTTGTCTGCTCTGGGGGCTTCAGTTGTTCACTGCCTGTGTCCCAAAACCTTCACACTCAATTCTCTGCCCTACCTGTCTTTCATCTGTCTCACCTTTCATCAGTCCTGCTAGTTATCCTCAGTCTCTCTTGCCCCAATTATCTCTCCCAAATGAGTTCAGCTGCTTATTGTGCCACCTTACCTGCTTGACATCTCTTTGATGAACCTAGATCAAATTCTTCCTGCAAGGTGCCAGTTCTTCCTGTTGTTTCACACCTTTCCTTTACATCTCCTTAGAGTTTTGCTGCAACTCCTGTTTCATCCTTTAATTTTAGGGGTCATTCAGCTGCCCCAGTTTTATACCTTGAAAACGTGGCCTATTTGTATTTCACGTGCCTGAAGTGAATGTGTTTTAACATAACTCCTGCACAAATCTTTACAGGGTGTGATTAAATATGGGAAGTCAGCAGTTGAGTAGAGCATGGAAGAACCAGTTAATTAAGGACTTTAAAGGGTGACATTTTTACCATCTGTAAACAAAATCTGTATTGCAAACCAGAACTCTCTACATGGCAGCTCCTAGGTTTCCTTGGTAGAAGATCCAACGCTCAGTGAAATGGGAGGGGGGATCTTTCACTGATTTTAGTATCCTTTGCATCAGGCCCCTGATTTCCCTTAGCAATGATAAAATGATACACAAAGCTGGGACTGTACAACTTCCTTTTATTTTGTGTGCTTTTATAGGATATAAATAAATGACAAAATTACAAAATTTATAACTGGAAGCCCAAGCATATTTACATAAGTATTTGTTGCAGTGAGGCTACTATTTACTGTTGTCCTATACAATTTTCCTTTTGGTACCATATTTTTAGTGTTATTTTTTTTTTGACTGTCAGTTGACTAAGTACATATCAACAGTGAATAAGCAAAAATATGTACAAGGAACTATTTTGTTCAAGTAAATTGAATACTGTATTAAAAGGATGTCATCACTCAGCGCTATGATTAGGTTTAACTAAACCATATACATTTATCAGTTTTAAACCAAGTTCAATTATCCATTTTTTGGAACATACCAACTGATGATTCTAACTGAAAAACCTCAGCTGGATATGAAATAATAATTAAAAAAACATTAAGACAACCACACAATTTATCAATATCTCTATAATGAACTTCAAAATGATTCACAATTTGACTGGATAGAACAATATACGTTAAAATGTCATTTTTCTCCTATAATGATAATTTTACTGTTATAATTTCAGTTCTACATAAATATACATCATGGTATTATACAAATACTCCACAGACATTAAAAAAATTAAAACACTTTAAAGAAAAAGTAAGTAAATCTTGTTTAACCAAATATTAAGCAAATGCTTAATTTTTTTTTGTTTCATGAAAACGTTTGTATTACTTTGGAATTTTTTTCTTTTTCTTGCTGTTTTTATTTAGAAAATGTTTTGCAGTAGAATTTTATCAATACTCTTCCAAACAAGCTTTCTGTGACAGAAATCTTGATAGCAAAATCCATGGTTTTTTACTTCTTTTAGAACCACTGAGATTATTTTTTAAAAATACTAGTAGAATTCATGGCTATAGCAATGTTGAACTGCATAAACTATATGTAGGTGTAGTAGAATGACCATTCCACTTTCATTCCAGACTGATCACACAGAACATCTAGTGCACTGATGCTACAACTCTTATAATTTTCATAATGCTGCAATAGCAGTCATTTACTTAACTTTAAAATAAACAGTATTTCTCATAATTAATCTGGCTTCCTTCCATAAATATTCATATGTTTTCCTATAGTACTTCTCTTCCATAAAAATATCTAATAAATGTTTTCTGTGCATTATTAATACCTTTTTCTAACCATTCATAAAACTCTGATCCTTTGCTACGATGCAAGAGGTTTTTATTTCTGTAGAGGATCAAAGGACATCAATGATTACATATAAAATCAGCGCACACAGAAATCAGGGTGCCTAATTTCTCATCACTTTAATGAGTTCTTTATTCAACACAGTAATTATTAATGAATTCAGTGGTTTCACAAATAATCTATTTATTAATTCTGGTTCTATTTCAATTAAAAACTGCCAAGATTTAAATAAAAAACCCAATCAAATACTCTACTCGTAGGCAGCATTAGTATTAGTTTAGAGACATTTTGTTGTTTTTTTTTTTCTTTAAAAAGTAGAATTCTAAAATAAGAAATCAAAGAAAGCACTGTGGCAGAGTCACAAGGGAGAACTGCATGAAAAATAAGGTTTCTCACTCCTCTTGTGGACTGTAATTTTAAAAGTCTTCATATAGTGTCATTCTTCATTCAGTGCTGCAGGAAGAAGAACATCACCAGAAATGACTGTCAGCCTTTTTTGTTAGTTACAAGGCCACTCATACAGTGCAGTCTTCCTCTCTGCTGGATTGAAACGTTGCCATAAAGGAAAGGCTGTGCTGTGACTGCTTGGCGTGCAAGGCACAACAAGGAACAGGGGGACAGTTTTTTATCAGAAAATTGTAGTTTCATACTTGGTATTAATGCCTCTTTTGGCCTCTTGTCCAGGTTCAACAATCCAGGGTAGATTCGCAAGAGTCTTTTGTTCGGATGGATCTATCTGCTTTAAGACAAATGCAAACATACAGACGGGTTACCATCTCCGTGCACGGCAGCTTGAGCAGAGGGTTTTTCTTTAAACTAACAGGGCAAATCCCGAATTGACAAAGTCGTACAGCAGCAAGTATGGTGGTGTCTACACTCCCATGTACTCATGGCTGCCTTCTTCTTCCTGTTGAGATCAGAGCTGTGTTTACCCCCAAGCTATAGGGCATCATAGTTCATTAAAGCCACACTTCATCCTGAGAAGTCTGTTCGCTAATGAGACAGACGATGGCATCAGGAAATGTTTCTACTTAAAGTTTTATGGAGGAAGATTCTGTGGCAATGGATGACAAAGTGTACAGTCATACATTCCCCCCCCCCCCCTTCCCCTCACCCGATAATTAAGTGTCATAGAGTACAGTTCTCGCGTTATAGTCGGTGAATATGATACAGTGTGCGGTCATTTTTCTCCTTTCCCTCCCAAATCACCCTGTGCCTGTGTTCTCACTTAATTTATAACAATATTCATAATTTTTTTAAAAGGTCTACCGTAAAAGAATATTTCTCTGTCATCTCTGCACTTCAGGAGGGCACTTTAAAGGCAATCAATACAAATGCTTCAATGAGCTTTGTTTCTTAGGAATCTGTGATTAATGCTGAAAAGTATATTGAATCCCAGATTTAAAAAAAAGAAAAAAAGGGTAAGAAAAAAAAAAAAAGAAGTTGCTTGGTCTGACAAGATAATTGTACAGAATTGACACAAAATTGATTTGTATTTGTAATTTGATTAGGACACATATGCCGTGATCATATACCAAACAAGTTAGGTGATAAATTAGGAAAGTCCATGAAACCTCAGAGTTTGAGAGGTATGCATTGATTAAACTGAATTAATTAAAGCTCTGATGTAATTACTATAAGACACATATACACAAGACTAACCAAGCAACATCTTAAACTGGAGAAATCTGAAATAAGCAGTTGTTTGAAATGGCTGCCAGCGCTGTGGTGACACAACCCTGCCAGCTGATGAGCAGAGGCGGCACAATGGAGCATTTCTGACCCGAGAGGTATTTTTATTTGTTCAGCTTCTAGTATATAAACTCTTAACTGTATAGCTGAATTTCGGATTTTTTTGCATGCATTACTACCTTCTACTTACCACTGACTTCCGAATACTAACACGTGGTTTGGGAATAGGTTTAGAGGGTTTGTTTTCAAAGCTTTCAGGGAGGGTTGAAGAATGACCCCCTTTTCGTGCTTGTAGTGCAAGCTGATAGGCCACCTCAAATGCTTGTCCTAGTGTAAGAATGATTTCGTAAGCTAAATTCTGGAACAAAACAGAAACAGTTAAAATTGAGGTGAGGTTGAATTATTGTCAGATACATGAAGTGGGGTAGCGATTTTCAATGTAAATAATTAAAATCAATCTAAATGTAATTTATTGTACTGAAAGTAATTACTTCTAAACCCCTTGAAAACGTCTTACTAACACGAAAACATGAGTGGGTGAGTATGTTGTCATCTCTTTTTAGAACCAGTATATTAACCTTCCCACCTTCCCAACTCATCCCATATCTGCTGTTCTCAGGATCCAGCCCCTCTTGCACTGTTGCAATGTGACACTCGGCCTCGCTCTATTTCGGAGCTGCTGCGCTGACCCATCCTCCTCCAGAGCCAGCAGCCTGACGTGCTGCTTCCCTGGGCACGTGCCTTGGGATGCTCTGTGCTCACCAAGCAGCACAGCAGGAGGCTGCAGCACGGCTATGGTGCGTTCAGAAGGACAGAGGGCAGGGCTGGAAGCGTGTGCTCCGGCTGACAGGTGCAGTGCAGGTAGCTGTGCGTGCAGGTCCAAGCGCCTGCTGCAAGTCCTGGGGAAACCTGCTCGTGGGTTTGCTTTCTAGAAGTGAAACTGAGCTCAAACAGTTGTGTAACAACGCTCTTGTAAGCGAGGGGAAGGGAGGTTAGTGGGCATAACCAAAAAAGTCAGGGCATTATGCCTAAAACCAATTCAGTGTTAAAGGTGGAATATTTTAAATCCTCTTTGGATATGGGGGGAAAAAAAACTGTTGAAATATTTATAACACATGAATGAGGTATCAGAGGGGTTGATATAAATATCTTTTCAGTACAGTTATACATCAGTGAAAAAGCAGCTGTGAGTTTCAAATTTGACCTTACTCTTCCTATGGTAATTTTTCTTCAGGTTTGTGGGTTTGTTTTTGTATATTTATTTTCGGGCTCCTACTGGAGCTTATTTTTAGGCTCCTACTAGAGCCTATTTCTGGGCTACTAACTGTGCAATAATGTTTAAAACCCCTGCAGAGCAAAGGCAAGCCTGTTGGCTTGCCTCCATATGATGTCCTACAGTCCCCTTAGAATAATTCATAAATCTTTGATATGATTCAGCTGTTACCCTCTCCTTCCTCCATCTCCATAGCCTATAGTATGAGCAATTCTGCATTGCTTTCAACCTAGGTAATCCCTTAAAATTCTCATGTTTCTGATACTTTTTCAAATGGCTTATGTCTTTACTAGTCAAGTCTAACTGTTGAGTTTGCAGTAAGTGAGAAAGCAAAGCAAAGCACTTGGAAGTACACTGTTTGCAGCCCCTTCAATCATTAAAACAAAGTTAAATGGACAAGCATTTTATTTCATCACCTACACTTTAATTTCCCTGAAGAATTTCCATTCCTTTTTTATCACTCATTTATACTGATATAATACAGGCTAAATTCAGCATATTTTGCTCATTATAAGAGCTTCTTATAAAGGTGCCAGTTCTGCCCTGTGTTAGGTCAGACAGAAAACAATTATACTCCTGCTCTGGGACATGCTCTCTGCTGTTACAACTACAGTCACAACAGCAAGCCAGCCAAAATTTTATAGCTTCCCAAATAAAAATGTCTCCCTGATTTGATAGCTGTAGCCTCCAAATTATCTCCCCTTTAACTTCAAGGGAAACTGTCCAGAACTGAAAAACACTGAGGATGCAGTTTTCCAGTGGAATAATAAAATAAAAACTAAAGAGTCTGTTATAAAGTGCTCTGCCTTTTAGCAGAATGCTGGCCAAGGAATTAAGTGCTAGAGTGTAGTTGTTAAAAATATAGAGAATAATATAATTTGAAATGGAGTGTACTTTTAAGTGGGCTAAGAATATTATTCTAAAGAGAGACGTCTTTAGAAGCAGCTGTTGGGACAGTAAGAGTGTACTATATCACGATGGGAATGTCTGCAGTAGATATTATTAATATTACTAAGGAACACCTCAGCAAGACAAGGTGTAGGAATGGCTTGTTGAAGAATATGCAGGCTGCAATACTAGTAGGACTGAGAAAATACACCATCCAGTGTGGCATAAAAAAGATCACCGAGACAGCCCTGAAAATCTGGGAGATGGGAGCAGAGACAGACTGAAAGTTTGCCATACTGAGCCATAAATTTAGTTTAAGTCCTGCATCTTGTATAAAGCCACTATAATCTGGTCTCCTTTGTTGTCTGTAAAATGAAAAAACAGGCCTGCCTGGGACCTGAAAACCATAAGATGTAACTGCTTCTCTGGTTAATAAATATTTGAAATATATCAAATAAAATGGAACATTCACTGTTCTGTTCAATATTTCAAGTGCAAACTGAACCATAGCTTGTATATAAATTTTATACATAAATTTCTACTGTGGTAGAGCCTTGCCAAAGGGAAACCTGCAAATGGAGGCAAGGAGGACTTTAAAAGTGTACCTTGTAAAATTTTAAAAAGTTATCTGAAAAAAGCCCCATAAGTAAATAAGCTTGGTTTGAAGACTTTCCCGCCTGTAGTACTGGGAGACAAAATTATAAGGACCAGAGTTGGTACAGATTCTTGCAGGGGCTATTTTGGACAGGTAGAACAGGATTCTCTTCAGGACAGGGGTGGAAAACCAAACCAAAATCCATTGTGGAAATTCCTCTGATGGAATGAGATTATTTGAACTAAAAAGTTCAAATAAGTTCAAAAGTTCAAAAGCATGTGGCACAAAAGGAAAGATACAATTCTCCCTCCCCGACAGACGCTTAGCATGGAAGTTGTAGAGCCCCTGGCTGCTGCAGGAGATGCTGACTCTCACAGCACCCCATCAAGCACCTTAGAAAGGAGAGAGAAAGGCCTGGGGTGCTTCACAGGCTGCTGCAATCCTGTTCCTTGCGTGGTAAGGCAGAGAGGGAAAGCAAATAAGATGATGCCTTTAAGCAACAATTTTTGGGAGGTGAGGAATGAGGTCAACTACCTTGTTTGCCAAGCAATGCTACAAGTCAGAGCCCCAGACCAAGTCTGATTCAGGATTCCTCAGCTTTAACTCAGCCAACCTATTACAATAGCTAATTGCTTCCTTATATTTTATCTGACTTTTTTGTTGTCTTCTATTCACAGGTGCAATGAAGGATTATCTGATGGAAATTACTTTGGGTATCTCCAATACACGAACCAGAAATTGATATAGGAGCTGTGTTGGTTTGTTTCTCCAGAGGGAATCCTTCACTCATAGATTTAAGGCTTCTTAGTAAAAAAATGAAAGTGAAGTGGGTTTCAGATATTGAGCAATAAGTCCTATTCTTCCCCCAAACCTTTTCCCCTTCAGTAATCTGTAATAAAGTCTGACATTTTTGCAATTTTGATTGTAGAATTTTCACTCTGAGGTAAATGTACTGTTACTCCTAAGTAGTATCAGTAATGCTTGTGGTTTCATGTCACTACACTAAAATATTCCCCTATCTATAAATAAATTATTCTTGCCCACATTTCCTGAGAAACTGAAGGACCCAAAGAGAATTTTTTTTTTCATAACATTGCATATAAGTATTACCAAAATACAGATGGTTTAAAATGCCTTACATCTTATTGTGGATTTCTACAATTTTAAACCTTAATTTTCTAAAAATGACTGTATTTCTATCCATTGGCAAATGGGTGGAATTGTTTCTATTAGCAAACGGGATGATCAGTTTAACATAAACATTAGGCTTTAAATAGAAAATTTAATTCATGGTATGTTTGCATTCTGAACATCTAGCTAATTTTTATAGAGCTTGTACTTGCATCAAAAATGTTAGTTCCTGAGAAGTAAAACACAAAAAGAGGACATTTGAGTATATAACACCCAACTGAGGATTAGATTGTAGGAGAAAACTCAGTTAAGACAGTTAAAGTTTCCGTATTGCTTAAAATAGCCATTTAAAGTGCTTGGGATATTAAATTCTCCTCCGAAGGTACAGGAAGTGGGCAAAATGTAATTATCCCTGGATCACTTTTCTTCCCTTGCCAAGAAAGGAGATAACTTTCGTCTGCAATACCTGAGTCTATGTTTCTGCTTGATTACTAAACCTATAATTGAAACTGCAGTACTTCAAAACCATTAAGTAGAATTTAAATGGACTAGGAGAAATAATAACCTCACTCAATCAGTCTAATTTCAGTTGTTCACACATCACTAAAGCCTATATAATGTAGCATCTTGTTGATCATTGTCTATCTATTTTTAACACAATTTCAAAGTTTTTCTACTCCCTGTGGATACTAAAATGTCAGCAGAGAATTTAAATAACAAAAGTACTCAACCAAAATGCTAAAATTCCTCTAACCTACCTGTACATCTTGTTATTTAAATTCTCCCACACACTATTGCTGTGCATGTTAACCGTTTCCCCAGTTTCAAATAAAAAGCTGTAGTTCAGGTACCCTGTTCTTTTGATTTAACTTACTTATATTCACGTGAACATGTTTCAAGAATTCATACACATTATACTCTATTACAATGTTTTTTCTTGAATGATTTTTAAGTTTTAATAGCACCTTAAATTTCTCTTCTGCACAAGTCAAAGAGTGAGTTTTTTTGAAAGTTTTGGACTATAAGTCTTAGTCATAAAAACTTCAGCCACTACTTAGTTCACCAAATTTAGCTGAAAGTTACATGACTGATTAATTGATACATGTTCATGATTTCTTGAAACCATAATAGTTTGCACATCCCCACCTGAAAGTATAAGTATAGGAAGAAATTACTAATTTTCCACCAATATAATAGGAGCTCCAAGGACTTTTGCTGAAGTACCATTTTGAGATATGTAGGTAGTAATTACAGAACAAGGAAATAATAATTAAATAATTAATTTGCTACTTTCAGAATAAAAGCAGTCTTTTGGTGAGTGCTGAGATTTCAGAATGGCTGGCCAAACGTACTTGTTACAAACTTTTGGAAGGCTTAGGCTTATAGCTTAGGTTATAAGAATTACATGTCCAGACTTGTATGAAAAGCTACTCGCTCAGTTTACAGTCAACAGCTGAGGTGACAGAGTTATTTCCGATGGCAAATGAGATATCAAAGAAAATCCTTGCTCTTCTCCAGAAATGTCCTTTTGCTATCCCATAGCAGTCTTTTCCTGGGGTAAATTAATGATGCCTTCCATTAATCACCATTAATATAGCCTGAAAATGTTTTAACAGAATTAAGTAACTATTGCTAATGGAAAGAACTATTAAATGAAGTATCTTCTGTCAACTGACCACATCAAATGCAGTGAATACGTGGCAGTAGTGGTGATTCGTCTTCAAGTCTTTAGTGATGTACGCAAATGTAGAAAGGTCTTCGGGGTCTTGTGCAGCACAGGAAATGTTGCGGATTTCATGTTCAGCAATAATATTCTGTTTTAAAAAAAAAATGTTTTAGATCAATTTAAGAATTAAATTTAAAAGAGCTGTAAAGGGTATGGGTTTAGATTCACGTTTGCATTGATGTACTGTACCAAAGTATTTCAGGAATGTCCTAATAAGAAGAGATTTAATACACCCCATGTGAGATCTTACACAGGTATTTGGAATTTTGACCTTGTCCACCTGCCAATGATCTGGTAGGAAACCATATTTTCTAGAGTCTTCCCTATGAGGCCACTTGTGCTTTGGAGTTTATTCAGGTTCCTTTGACAAAGACATCTTTCCTACCACACAGGACACAGCTTCATAAGATGCTGGTATAGTGCTTCGAAATAGTATTTATAGATACGTTTCAAAGCACTATACCAGCATCTTATGAAGGTCCTGGGCTTTTGTATAGTGATCAAAATGGGACACTGTTTCAGTCTACTGACAGACAGGATCTGGTAAAACCCAGCAAGCTCAATAGCCAGGCTTTTGCACATGCTATTTGACAAATTTCAGCTATACTGGAAAAACCATCAAACATCACTTATAATTGAAACCGTGAGATATCCAAAGGATTCCGATTACTAAAATGATGACTACAGGGGGAGCTGGCAGCTTATCTCCACTTACTGACAGCAGCATCCTGTAGGAGAGATGTAGGAAGATGAAACCGTTCATGCGCTGAGCCACACTACTTGCAACAGCCAATGTAAGCTATAGCACACTACTGGGAGAGAGGAGGGGCATGTCTGTCCGATGGAACAAAAAAAAGCTGTCTTAAAGCTTTGGAGAAAATTATGAGTACTCATTACATAAACTGCTGATATGTAATTACTGTGTTCAGGCCAAAGGAACCATGAAGCCAGAGAAGAAGATACAGCAGAGTGGCTTATGATTAGGCCTTGCTTCAGCAACATACACGTTTCAAATGGTTTGCTTAAGGAGAAGAATGATTACTTGAATAGGAATTTACTTAAGGATTAGTTTACATGCTTTCTTGGATTGTAGCTCTGCTGGCTGTAGCTCTGGCATTTCCACAAAAGCCCACAGTGACATATCCTGTTTCAATATGGCATCACTACTGCATCATGGAACTGGTGACACCTGTAATGTCCCAGTTCTTCACAGAGCCACCACTTGCTGCTGCCACAGTGCCATCTGTCCAAGTTAAAACAATCTCTGAGCATATCTGGTTTTCCATCACCCCTCTCTTTTCCTTCCCACCTCTTTTCCTCCAGCTCCCTTTTAAATATATTTATTTATTTTTAAAATATGTGCAACTAAATTACTTTGGATGCTTTGTCATATCTTCTCTCATTTGCTAAGTGGCAACTTTCCCCCTTGCATGTAGGTGCCAAGTTATTGAAAAGAAGCATTAACATACCTAATTGAAGAAATCATGACTTAGGGAAAATCTTAATAAAAAGGATACTCAATTTCAAATTCAAGTTCAAATGGAAAACCTGAGATAAGGAAACTTTACTGAAGAAAAGAAATAATCCTCTTAAATTGTTGCAGCATACTTGATTGTTTCTGTTTAATGCATTATTCATAGAAATTACAAAACCAGTACTTGTGTTTCAATATATGCCAATTTAAAATGACACGTGTAATCTCTACTCAACAATTGCTTTTTATGTTACTTGAAGCATTTTATTTTCTTGGTTCTCAAATTGATAACTTGTACCCTCAATAAAGATTTTGATGAGAATTAGAATTATACCAAAAGCAGGGATTTAGATATCCATGGATGGAGCTGTAATGCTCTGTCATTGATGTAGTGTTGGCAACACTGTTGTTAAGAAAACAGAAAGAATTCAAGCTTGGAAGGTGTTAAATTCATACGTGAAGTATTTATGCCAAATCATGAGCCACAATGTAATCACCTGAATTTATGCAGCATATGTGAAAAGAGCTCTGCTATATTGAAATTTTTCTAGGTGACTTGGGGTTGACACAGGGATTTGCACTTGAGTCAGAATTCATGGAGATTATTTTAATGTTTTAATTTTAAATCAAGGGAATTTTAGAAAAATACAAGTATCAAGTTTGTTATGAATAACAAAATGTATACCTAAACTAAATCTTGTGGACAGAAACTGGTAGTGAAATTGAGTTTTTTCCTAGCTGCTCTAGGATATCCTCTGTGATCTCCTTTCAAAATTAAACATTTTTCAGTGCATGTATTTACCGTGTCCTACTGTCACATTTCAGTAGACAACGGTCTTATTCTGTAGGAAGTAGAAAGCTATAAACCAGCTTCCTCTTCTGGGTACACTCCTCAGCCACTGACAGACACTGTACAGTTGTTCTAAAAATTGTCTTTCAGTTTGGCAAGAGAAACCTCTAGTGCTTCTCAAAAAGTGGTGAAGCTGAAAGTCAGTTCTGGTTCTGCCAAGGAAATACCTTGGAGAGACCAGGTTTTTGCCAAGCAGCCTTCCTTTTGCTTGCCTAACTCATGCCAGGCAATCTCCCTTCTGGCAGAAATCACCCAGAAGTTAGGGTGAGCTGTGAGCCACGAGAAAACTCTGTGAGTCTGCTTTTTTTTCCTAAGCAGCAATTTCTTTCTGGCCTCACTTGCAAAGAAATGGTTCATGCCAAGCTTCAAGGCGCCACTGAAATAGCTGTCGTGGAATGAGGTCAGGGCCCCTTCAAGTTTCAGTCACCTGAAACTTTGCCTGCTATGACTGGGAATACAAATTCTTAGCTTGGTGGCATAAAGGAAAAGGATGAACAGCCATGAGAGCTGAGTTCTCAAGCACAGAATTGCTAGCTAATTTTGTCAATTAAAACTATGCGTTTGTTGCTAAGTGGTGCCCAGCGCCGTCTACTGTAAGCTCATATGGAAGCAGTACAAGTCTGGATAAGCTCTCACCTTAGTGCTAATCTGTTTTGGGTCCTGAAGGGTTTGGGAACAGCATACTGTGGACAACAACGCTTCTGGGAGAGTTGCAGGCTATTACCTGGTTTTTACAGAAGGGAAAGGCAGTGCAGATTTTGAACTGGAGAGAAAGCAATCTACCACTTGAGAAAAAACATTGGACTGTGGCATATTTAACTCCATCAAATACATCCATTGCACTATTAGGTTTCAGTGGGACCCATCTAGAGTCATCTAATGCAATTTGCCAAACTTCTTTCAGGTTTCCATCTTACATAAGACTCTATGCACTGTGCAAAGAGACAAGAAGCTCCTCTTGTTCTCGTGGAGTTTTTTTGTAAACCTAAGGACATTGCAGTTACATCCTTTATGCTACGGAGGAGATTTAAGAGCTGAAAACAGCATTATCCAAGTTGGAGTTAATAGCATTACAATGTCCTGATCTATGCCCTGCACATCAGAGAACATAAAGGGAATGAGGGCTGTAGAAGCTCAGTTTTAAATCAATGGAAGGAAAAAGGAGCAGACAGGAATCCCTGGTCCCTCTGCTCTGGCAAATATGCCAGACTTGAAACAACAGTAATTCCACCTCAGTTTTTCTTTTAGGCTATTATCTAACTCTAAATATGTCTTCCAAACTCTAGCAGAAGTTCACAAAACTGCTTCCATCCGTCACTTAAAACACAGTTCCAGTCAAACTTAAAACCTGATTGATTTGGCAAGTTTGATGGATACTGGGTTAGGTGTACCTTGTGGGCTGGATGTTCAGCAACACAAAGCTACTATATACATTATTAACCTGGTCAGGTAGCTGGGTTGTCAGATTTATTTTTTATATTGCTTAGTCAGTTTTAGTCGCATAACAGAAAAGATAATTTCTGTTCATACAAAAGCATCAGGATGGATGGTATTTCCTTGCCATTTTAGACATACAAAGAAGAGAAATTAATGCATTACTTTGCTGCTCTTTACAGAGCTTGTACATTTTACTTTGGTTAAACAATAATCCATTGCTCTATCCATCACTGAGTTCTCTGATCTCTTAATTTCTGCTTTTCTGGCTTTGGTCAGTTGGGGTTTTTTAAAGATTTGGGTGCATTTAGAAATGTGAAAAACAAAGCACAGGAGCATTGCCACACGGGAAGATGTGAAAAAAAAATAATAAAAAAAAATGGAATAGCAACTATTAAGAAGCTGCTGCAGTTCAGATAGTTAAATGGCTAGCATCAAGAAAACAGCTCACAGAGAGGTTGTGGTATTTGAATGTCTGGAAAGGACATTCAAGGCTTGTGTTTCTTGTTCTTAAAATGGCTGGCCCTGGATAAAACCACATCTTTATTCTTTATTGTGACTTTTTATTTTTTAATTTCCTCAGATTATACTAATGAGCATATATATAAATATATTCTACATATTTATTGAAGAGGTTTATGACAATTTATGGAACTGTATAGAGAAGAATATGGTAAAGGATTCTACAGAGTCTCCCTTCTGAATGTCTTTTGTGATAAGCTTGCATTTAACAGCAGAATGCTGGACACAGTGTTCTCCAAGCAAGCATTAAAGCTGCTTCACTTGTCCTCCAGACTGAGTTTCTGGAGAATGACAATTATATTACATCAATTTTGGGCAAAAGAGGAGAAAAAAAGGAGAGGAATACACAAAGTGCAAATCTGCCCCCTCTCTGGCCTGGCCTTCATAGGTATTACTATTTAGTTGTGAGAAACAAGAGGTAATATTCAGTAATTGCACATACCTTATTTGTGGCATCAATAAATTTGACTCCCTTGTAAGAAACAGACAGGACAATGGTTGGTACTTTCTTCATCTGTTCTGTAGACTTCTGAAATCAAAATGAAGATCTTATTAGAGTTGTCGTGCATTGTAATAACAGTGCTTTCTTCTTCTGATTAAATACCTAAGTTAAACAAATATTTTACTTTTCCTTCAGCCAGCTGTGCTCTGGGTTTATGCTCTCTTGTAGTTACAAAACTAAAAAAGCTTTGAGTTTATTGTGAGGATGGTAAAAATTCTCCTTTTTTTCTAGCACAGTGGGAATAGAATAAAGTAATTTTTCCAGGCTTAAAAAGACCAGTCATGCAACCAGTGTTCCCCAAAACATATGTTAGGACATCTATCTGCTACGGCCCATATCTATCTGCTACGGCCCATCCACTGCTGCCTCCCTCCCCTTCTCCCCCCCTTCCCAGCTGTAAGAATCAACAGCACAGTAATTCCTGTAGTGCTGCAGTTAGTTGTTATTTAGAAATATTTCCCTGTTTCCCCTTCTTTTCAGTTGCATTTGTGACATGAGGTATCCTTGCAGCCTGCTAGGCCTGCCAGTCAATCCGTCAGCCCAGCGCTGGTTTTCCACTGAACAGACTGGGAAAATGTGTGGAGTAGATTTAAGTTCTCTGCAGAAAAAAATAAAAGTTCTTTAGTTTACAGATTAAATTTACTAGAACAACCCCAAACCCAAATGAACAAAACACTCAAATGTGGCATAATAGTTTATAACTGATTTGAATTCTTTTAAGATGGAAGACAATGATGGATGAGACTATTCTATACAAAATTTCTGTAGATAAACATGTAACATTCAGAAAATGCTTGTTTATGGAACTATCTGCAAACAATCACAGAGTTCAATCAAGAATTTTCCTGAGAGGAAATGAACTATTGACAGTTACAGATAAACATGAAGAAACATCAGCACACAGAAGGAGAGTGTAAACACACTGAAAAGTCTAGAACTGACGCATAGGAAGATCATTAAAGCAGCTGAACAAAAGCAGCAATGGTGGCTTTGTATTATTCAAAAAAAAGTCCAAAGAATCAGAGACAGAAACTTGAAAACACAAGCTGTATCTAAAAAAATGTTTGAAAAAATAGGCAATGCTAACACTAGAGAGCAAAATAAACAGAAACTTAAAACAAAAAAACTGCCCTGTAATCATGTCTCTTTATTGGCTCTTAATCCTCCCAGAACCAAACCAGATTCCATTTTTGTCAGCATAAAACTCAAAGCTACAGATCCAGCTATGTTCTGCAATTAGTGTCTGTAGTGGTTTAGGTTTGCTAATTTGAGTTTTTTGGCAAATGCACTAAATAATGTGGAGAGTTTAGCGCTGGCAGAAATTACTAGTGTATTTACTAGAATTATTTGTTTATTTTTTGTTGTGAGATATGAATTAGGAGGGCAAAATAGACTTAAAATTTAAAGTGTATGAAGAAAACTTTACTTACAGAATTAGAAGAATAATAAGAATTAGAATAAACATTTTAGAACACTTTTCTTCTTCTTGCTCCACTTTTTTTTTTTTTTTTTAACTGATAATGTAGAGACAATACTTGGGATTTTAAATTAGTTATTACTTTTATAATACTCTTTTATTAGTGTCCATGCCATGCAGGCTGAAACCTCTAATTAAAGTTTCAAGGAGAGCCTCACTCATCCGTGTAATAGAGAGGCTTGTTGGATCTCTCCATATCAAATGATGAGATACTTGAGACAGCAATCAAGTGTCAATTTATCCTGGAGAAAACTTCTTTCACCCACAATGCTCACCACTTTTAGGAAATGGAAGCTTAAATGGTAAAACGCCCTGAAGAATTTTAACAAAGTCTGAATAAAGAAACAAATCTGATTTGCCTGCCTGTGGACTGAGTGGAGGAAGAACTGGTATCCCTGCCAAAAGTAGAGCAAGCACCTACCTGTGTGTATGTGTGTCACTATAACAGTTCTCAAATGAGTCTTTTCATAAAATTCAATTTCAGTGCACAGAAAGCATGATAGTGACTGTACAGAAGCTGTAGTACATACATCTATCAGAATAACAAGCAATAAACCCCGCATTTGCTCAGACTAGACAAAATAGTCACAAATATGACAATATCACTTTAATCATCTGGCAAGGCAGCAATCATCCAACTTTGGTCCTTTCATTTTAGTCCAACAGCTACACACAAGAGAGCTTCCTTTTTCTTTTTGATTTTTATAATTACCTCCTTCCTTGCCTCCTTAACAGCACAACTCCTTTTCTCCAATATGCTACACAAACACAGGTACTAAGTTCACATATTTTACTTTTTCAGTATAATTCTCACTGTCTGGTATTTGCCATAAAGGTGAAGCATCCTGTTGGCCAGGCCACGCCACATTGTACCAACTACCTCTTTCCTCTAGACCTATAGCTTGTAATTTAATCACCTTCATCTGCTCCACATTCACCTGTTTGTCTTGACCAGACCTGACCTCTAGTATTTAATCAGGGTTGTGAACTGCCAGCAGACTGTCTCTGAGTGAAATAGCTCATCAAGATGCTATTCAATTACAGCTGGCAAATCAGGAAATGAATGAGAGATTGATGGACATTTGTAATTTATTAAGCCAAACCATCTCAGCTATTAAGGAGCACGGGATGTTCATCATCAGCTCGCAAACCATACAAACCCCAGGATTTGTGCAAAGGTGTTCTGGAAGACTGCAGTCCAGTGTAGAATTATGATCTGTGGTTCTTGTACAATTCTGCACTTGTATTCCCACTGAAACAAACAGCTGGGCAGTGGAATAACATCCTTTGTTATTATGACAGTGCCATCGAGAAAAACACACAGCTGACTGGCCTGGCTTGACTCTTAGTGATACAGTAACTGAGGTCCACTGGATAATTATTATTTCCAAGCAGTTTCCAGACTTCAACAGTTTTGAGTTGTCATGGTGAGTTCACACTATTTTCTTGTTCCTTTCTTTTTAATGAAGGAGTTGTCTGCCAGAATGTGTAACATGTGAATTCAGAGATACAGTAGGAATACCTTTTGCTCAGGCACTGCAGGTGCTTTGGCTCTGAATTCTAGGATGCTGAGATGAAGCCCCACAGCTTTCTTGGTCAGACATTTCACACCTTTGTGCAGCCCAACTCTGCAGGGCATCTCTGCCCATGTCTGTGCCCAGAATCTGAGAAGAAGGTGGGACACAGGAGTCAGTATTCCCTTTACTTGGGCTTTTCAGGTTCTGGTACCAACTCCATGAGGACACAATGAGAAGACAAAATATCCATCTTGTCCATCTGGTGTCTCTATGGGAAGCATATGGACTTGAGCCAAAGTTATGGGAGCCACAGCTGAAGGCTGGCTTTGGATGTCATGTGCTTGCTGACATATGGTCTCATGCTCCAAGGCATGTTCATACCATAGCAGCAGAATTAGATTTCATCTCACAAAGAAGCAATCATAGTGACAGGACACTGTCTTTGGGCAAGTGCTCACTAGCCTGGAACTGGTCATAGTTCCTATGAACTCCACTGTTTGTGACTGTAACTGGCTCTTAATTTCAGTGTGCTTCTTTAGGAAAATCACCTGGGTGAACAGCAAGCCTATTCCAGGCTCCTTGCCAGTGCCTGCTGCTGATCAGCTGGTCACCTACGTCAGGACAGATGTGCATGCCCCATCTCTGTGGGTGCACTGCTCCTGCAGACTGGAGTGCTCCACAGTCTGCACTGCCAGAGTGACTGAGCTTTGGTCCCACCTCTGAAATCCTTGCTGCCAGACAGGTAGGTGACTACGTGAAAGCAGGCTGTGTATAATTCAAGAGCCATAAAACAGGCTTGTGTGCATACAAAGGAAGAGAGAAGGAAGTGTCACCATTCTAAATCTAATATGACATATGTGCAGCTTCCCCAGACTTCTCAAAAGACACAGAGCATCCCTCTCTTCAGAACAAGGAACATTGGGAGTACCAGTCTTGTCTGTATTTTGATGCAGCTGCTCCAGTGAAGCTGCTTCATCCCCTCAGCACCCACAATGCAGATCAGCCCAGTGGAAGAAGGTCAAAGGTACCTTCTGCAATTATCTGATTACTAACTACAGTGACTGCTTTTTACAATAAAAGTCTGAACTTAAGACTGTTCTGAGTTTGCATCTGAACCCACTGCTGCCATTACGCAGGACAGTGCCAAAATCCTGCTTAGGCTTGGACAGCTCTGCTACCAATTTCTCCTTTTGAAATGGGTCATAAGGAGATTCAAGGGCAGTGGTGCCAGAGAGAGCAAGAGAAGTGCAATCTTGCTTCTCATCTTGTTCATGGATTTTCTTTAGTTCCACTGGAAAAAAAAATCACTCTCATATCCAGAGTCTAAACTCATTTTCATATTATAGTAGTACTATAAATTGTTGTAAGTAGGTAAAGCATTTCCACTTGCATACTGATTTTGAGTTCAAGGCTGTGCAGAACTTCTGCCAGACATTTATTTAGAATGTAAACTAAAATCTAGCTTTGAGATCCACCCTGTCAGCATGCCTAACAAATCAAGGTAATTAACAATGGCTTAAGAGGCAGAGGACTTGATAAAATAATATAAACTAGCAATTTATTTTTAAAAAGCAAATATAAAACCTGCAACCCTGAAGGGCATTTAACCTTCTCAGGACAGGATTGTACCTCAATACCTTATTCTGTGCAGAACTGAGAGCACTAATTCAACCCCTTTGAATGCTCCTGCAGTGTACAAACCATGGCATCTCTAAGCACACACCCACACACACAAAGCAGCTGAATAAGAAATTCAGAAACACACATAAAATGGTGTCCAAGTAAGATGCCAGCTAATTCCCTTGATATACTGTAGCACATGATACAATGCAGCCCCCTCTGAAAATCTTTCATCTCAGTTTTTTATTTCCTGACAAGAGGAAACGGAATGCACTGGTACTTCTACTTTGCTATGTTGACCACTTCAAAGTACTTATACATGCATTTATAACTAAATTACTTAGCTTTGATACAGTGGCCAAAATAAAAACAGATTCACTTTTAGGTTTATATGTAATTCTATTTAATATTGC